TCCCAGAAGGCTAATTAATTAATTGAAATTAATTAATTAAACAAACATTAAAGTTCACACCTTATTGCCCAATTTCATATCGTGAGGGACTGGGGTGAATTCGGACATCTGCGGACAACATATAAACAACATGGCGGCCGCAGTAACTATCGATTCGGTAAAGAAGAAAAGCTTGCACTGGAATTTCAGCTCTCGATTTTGTAAAAATTCCTGGAGCCCGGAGGGAATTACCTATTACACCCTTACCTGGATCGAAAACGCACCAAAGAACGTTAGGGACTCATATCTGGATGTTATTAGGAAGTCGAAGGTCAAATGGAAAAGAGAACTGATCTGCTGTGCTCATTGCAGCAGTGGCCAGCGTCTGTCACTTGATGGTCTTCCTGATGTAAAGCACACTTTTAAGGATGACACACTGGCTACCAACTGGCATTGGAACTGTGCTGCAGCACTGTGTACAAATTCTTGGCGTACACCTGGAATTCATTATTATAAACTCTGTGAAATTGCAAGGGATAAAGGGCTAAAGTGCGCGTATGAAAAGGTTCTTAAAAACAAAAACGTGAACTGGAAGAGAAATGTTATTTGCTCAGAGCACTGGTCTAAAGGAAAACGACTTTCGATTCAAGATATACCTGACAGATCTACCTCAAGCTCTTACATTCAAAAGAACACTTCTTTTATAACACCACCTCGAAAAATCGAGTGGGCTAAACGCTGCCTTAGATATGAAGGAGACTCACGAGATTGCAAAGTGCCAAGAAGGAAGCTCAAAAGGTCAGTATATAGTGATCCAAAGGATGAAATTATTAAGTCAATTTCCAATGAGAATTCAACACTTAAAGCTCAGTTGTTAGAAGTACAGAAAAAGCTACAAGAGAAGGAGAAAGAATTATCTAAGCTAACCGAAGAAGTTGTCTTTCTGAGAAGTGAACAAACCGAGTATCAAAGACAACTGCAGTTGTTNGTTGTTAGAAGTACAGAAAAAGCTACAAGAGAAGGAGAAAGAATTATCTAAGCTAACCGAAGAAGTTGTCTTTCTGAGAAGTGAACAAACCGAGTATCAAAGACAACTGCAGTTGTTTCAAGGGGAGTATGAAAGAACAAGATTTACATATGAGCATGTGATCAAGAAAGGACAATGCTTCTATATGACTGGCCTTACTGAAAGTGAATTTGATTGTTTGTTTGAGTGCTTGGAACCATTCCTTAGTGCACTAGTCTATCCAGATTGCAAATCGTCTGAAAGGAGTAAGTGTAGAAAGATGGATAAGAGAACTGGACTTATGTGTTTCTTGACAATTCTGCGCCATGCAGTTCATCTTGGTGTAATCGGCTGGATGACGAATACAAGTGTTTCTACCCAATCTAGATTATTTGCTGCTTGGTCAGTATTTCTAGTAGCCATTTCTGAAAGTATTGACCTCGCTCCTTTACCAGGAGAATTAGCAGCAAACCTACCAAAAGACTTCAGTGATGCTGGATTTGGAGACACATCTTGCATGGGTGATGGTACAGAGACCTAGATTGCTGCTTCAGAAAACTTTGATGTAAACAATATTACATTTAGTCAATACAAAAACCACACTACTGGCAAGACCTCAGTCTGGATCACCCCTTATGGATCACTTCTTAAGTGCAGCGACACATATCCTGGCACCATTTCAGATTCTGATATAACTGAACAGTCTGGAGTTCTTGACATGTTAGAGAAAGGTACTGTAGTTCTAACTGACAAGGGTTTTGGCATAACTGATCTATGCCTGGCTAAAGGTCTTCATCATAACCTAGCTCCTCTTAAATACAATCCTCAATATGATGAAACTGAAATTAGCAAAAACTTTGACATTGCCACGCTCAGGATCTATAATGAAAACTATATTGGACGAATGCGAGACTGGGCAATAATTAATGCATGTTGACCTCCTAACAGAATTGATCTTTTAGGCTATGCTCATAAAGTTCTAGCCAACATTGTGAACATTTTCAAGAAACCCATTGGTCCAAAGGAATCTGACGAGGAATGAAGGCCTCAGATTCTGTTGGTAGTTCTACAACTCAGTAATTTTCTCAAATATGTTAGCAAGTAGATTGATCAGGTTTATATTAAATTAAATGTTGTGCTCAAAGCAAAAAATATTTCTTCCACTTCAAAATGGTTTTCATGTTATTAACAGAAATGAACTCTGAAGGCTGACTTTTTACAATTTAAGCATTAGCTGTAGCCTGTGAAGGTTAATGGGTAAACTGTAGAAAAATGTAGTCAATTTTCAAACATGCCTTCAATATTTACTTAATATTTAATAGTGCTAAAGAACCCAGAGTAAGCACCAGCATGATAAGTCATCTGGCTTGCACACGGACTTCAATCTTTAATGTTCATCAATAAATGAAGTTTTCTGAACCTACAGGAAAGCCACTTGTTTTACATCCTTGGCCAAAACATTTACCCAAGATCTGAGATAGTGTAATCTTTCAAACGTTGCTTTGTTCCAAAAAAGCTCCTCCCCTAACTTACATAAGTGGGGGTGCTCATCATAATGCCATTCAACAAAAACTTTATTGTATAGAATATGATCAGTGATGTCCTTTATGAGATTAATTAGCAGGTCATTTCTTGCAATGTAGAAAAAATTGGAGACATCTTTCTCTGATAGATATGACTGCAAAAATGTTTATTTGACCACCTGTGCAACTCATCTGGAAGTTTGTTTGGACTACATGGGACCCAGTAACTTTTTCCAGTGGTGCTGTAGAGGTCTCAGGTCTGGTTTCACTTCAACTGAAAATGACTGTGTAATTCCATCAAGGCTAGCACCATAAGTAGCGTCTACTGGATGCTTGAAGAATCCACAGTTTGAAACTGGGATGCCTGATTTAGAACAAATGATAAGGTATTAATTTCAATACAAGGCTTGTTCTTAAGGTTTTGGTTGGTTTAACTCATTAGTTTCATTTTAACTAGCATAGTTTAATCTCACTTAAAACTAACCGGATAACAGATTCTTTTAGCTAGATAATTTACCTGATGCTTTGGTGAAGCTGTCCAAAGCTCCTCTTTCATAAGCTTTGCCCCTCTCAAAGTTCTTGAATTTCTTAGGTTTATACAAGCTCTCATCCAACTTGTTATGTATCGAAAACCATGAACTGTCAAACTCTTTATGTCCACACAGTTCTAGTAATGCTGGTATCTTGCTGGCAGTGATAATGCCTACACGACTCACAAGCCATTCTTTTGAACCTTGTATGACATCAACGTAATTATTTCCCCAAAGCTTAACAGTTTCACATTTTGGTATCTTGACTGTTATTAACTTTTCAGTTGAGTGGGAGTTTAAATTTAGTAAGTCTTTAGTCTTTTCTTCGGAAAATACACTTTCATTACTGTGGGATCCAGAATATGTGTTTGGCTCATTGACAGTTACATTTCCCTCGGCTGGAACCAGTACTGAGTGCCAGACATCTTCAGTCTTGCCAGCAAAACGTGGAGCAAGGATGGTGTCATCATAGGTCACAGACTGTTTGGTGTAGCTATGCTCATGGTGTATTAGCCTACACAAGTAAGCATTTTGGTAAGAAAGATGATACAACAACCCAGATTGTATTTTGTATTTCGTTAAAGTCTTCAAGAAATGGTTTGAAATATCAACACTAGTTCCATGTAGTCCATCTCCTACTTTGGAGCTTATTTCAGACACATCTCTTGACAACCAGTCGCTTTTGTCCAGATTTGAGTCCTCCCCATGCAGCATCTGAACTTTCTTTTTTGTTCGCTTATGCATCACATTTTTTCTAGCTGAGCGTACAGTTTTGAAGTATTTTAGACGAATGTGAGATGCCGACTTAACCTTTGCACTGTCCCTCTTTCCTGTGTTTGGGTGGTGCCAAGTCTGAAGTTTCTGAGTACACGTCATGGCCAGAGGCAACTGGTTGTAACGTGTAAAATGCTTTAACTGTAGGAGAACTAGTATTGCATGGCAGCAAAGGCCACAGTTACCTACTGCACATTCACAGAATGCTTTTTCAGGAATGTTACCATTAAATTTTACGGTAACCATGCGTGTGACGTCGGTCGTGAAACTCTTCAGTACACCTGCTTTTACAAACACCTCAGTTTTGGGAATAAAGCTGTATCAAACTTCCTTCCCGCTGTGGAGGAGGCACATTTTCTCTTGAGAGAGAAGTCTTGAATTTAAACTGTTTACTGATCTGATTCACTCTCTTATCGAACACACTCTCGTCCTTCAGGGGTGCCAATCTTTGGATGAGTTCTCCTTTTGTACCCGATGTCTTAAGTTGAAGTTTGCTGCAATATCTAGTCAGTTCTTCACGTTCTACAGACTCTAGTCTTTCATGAAATAGCTGACCCCTGATAAATTCAAAGGATAATTAGCAGGCGGTGTTGGGCACGGTTCGCAAAGCATGCTGGGACAAATTGTCAATTGAGCTCATTTTCGTCTGATCGCCGAACGGTTCACATCTCCGCGGAGTGGGCAAACATGGGAATAGCTGGGCTACTTTCGATGCCTAAAGAAATTGCTGAGGATGTGCGAGTGAGATCCTTCGCAGATCAAGTGGCAGCTATAGACGCGTATTGTTGGATCCATAAAGCAGCAATTTTTTGTGCAGAAGAACTTATTCTTAATCTAGGAATTGAAACATCGAGGTAATATTCTCGATTCCCGACATTTTGGAGTTTGTGTAATAAGCTGGCTAAAATTGAACTTCTCTTTTGGCACTTCTTTTTTCAGATATGTCGACCTGTGTGTGAAATATGTCGATGTTTTGCTAGCGAACAAAGTGCACCCTATCTTGGTTTTCGATGGATTTAAACTGGACGCCAAAAGAGAAGTTGAATCTTCGAGGAAAAGGTGAAAATATTTCCAAAACAAAGCAATCTTTTGTGAGTGAGAACTCGTGTAAAGCGTGATTAATGAACTCTCGTTTGTTTATTTACTTATAAAAGGAATCGTGAAGAGTCTACCAATAAAGGGCTGGCTCTTTGGAGAAATGGAGAGAAAGCAAGGCAAAGGAAGCTTTCAAAAAAGCAGTGGATGTCACAAGCGAAATGGCCCTGAAGGTGATCGAGGTGCGGTAAAGTACAAAATGTCTTTTAGTTCTATTGATGTGTCGAGGTAAAGCTCGTTTAAAAGAAAGTAAAATTAAGAACTAACAAATACATTGTTTTTATTGAATTACGCTTTTATGTTATTCACTTCGTATTCGATTTAAAGTACTTCTATAAGTAAGCTGTAAGCTCTGGTTCCTTAGTCTAAAGAACTTATTGAAGGTTTGCCTTTCTCTCATGTAAATTGAAGCTGAGTGTGCCTGCCACAAGTGATTTATTTTGCTATATTTTGATGCATAGCAATTGAGATCACTTATATGTATTTTCACCCTTTTGCTAAAGTTATTAACCCTTGATTCAGGCTTGCAGAGAAAAAATATCCAGTATTTGGTTGCCCCATTTGAGGCTGATGCTCAGTTACCATATTTGAGTTTGAAAGGCTTTGCCCAGTTAGTGATATCTGAGGATTCTGACTTGCTGGTGTTTGGATGCAAGCAGGTATTTGCTTTCACGTTAGTATCTGTGGGCATATGCCCTTTTGCTTGTCAGGAGATCTATGCCTTAGGTTAAAGAATTTTTAAATTTAATATATCAACAATAACAACTTCCCAATTTAGTTTAATTGTTGTGGACATAAAATGCAGTACAGGATGTTTCTGAAGCTCTGTCATTAACTAACTACAATGTGCAGAAACTTTGGTATAACAAAGTATTGAAAATAAGCACCCCCTTTATTTTAAGTGCACAGGAAATGTAAAATATTAAATTTTCTTGTTATATTGTTTCATTTTGCTCAGATACAGTCGAATCTGTGTATGAAGATAAATAAGAATTTTTGTTTCAATTTCAGGTTTTGTATAAGATGAGAATGAATGGAACTGAAAAGCTTATCAAGAAGTGTGACTTGAACAAGAGCCTAAAATTGAAAGAATTCACTTTCGAGAAGTTTAGACTTATGTGCATTCTTTCTGGGTGTGATTATGCCAGTTCTTTGAGAGGTATTGGTTTCACGCGTGCCAAACAAGTGGTCGAAATGGCTGGCAGCAAGGGAATGAGTTGGGCTCTCCATAACATCAGGGAAATCCTTAAAATGCCAACTCTGATTGTACCAGAAAGTTACTTTGAAAAATTTTTTTTTGGCTGACAATACTTGCCAACATCAATCAGTATTTGATCCATTATCCAGAAAAGTGGTTCCACAGAGTGGGGATGACTCTAATGTTTTTTTTTTCTTTCCAGAAGCGAGTATCCTTTCATACTAAATGACTAGATTAGTACAAATTACAATGTGTACCAGATGTAAAGCAGGCAATGTAATGGACATGATTTTTGTTACCTTCCTTAAATCCTTGTAAAGCAAAAGACCTACTGATGGATTTGGAACTGACATTGCCATTGGCAATATCAATGTCCAAGCTGGAGCAAAAGTTAGGGATTTTCCTTTGCCGAGTGCTGAGGTATTTGGATTTAAGTTGTATTTGCTCCAAGTGTATTTTTCATGGGACTCTATTAAATCTGAGACCAATTGAAAGGTAAAGAGGTTGAATGGAGAGGGGCCCAGTTCATTGTCTATACTTTTAAGAGAAAAATGTTTTGTACAGTTATTAATCATTCTAATTTTATTAAGTACCTTGTGCAGATTTAACCAGATAAAATAGAAATAAGGGGAGGGGGCAACTTATATTTACTTGTTAAAATACTTATTGACTTGCAAATAATCCATGAATAGCTTTTTTAAAGCACTAATCAAATATTCAAACTGGAATTTTTTTTTCAGACTGAAATGCTCTCACTCACTTCAGTTACCAACAGAGGTAAGATCTGTTTCATGTTTTACTTTCAATTCTGGTAAGTTAATTGTTATAACAGTTTCATCACTTGAACTCATATACAATACTTGAACAAGAAATAACTAGAGCGACCTTACTAGAGCGACCTTATTACCCAGGATATTGTTATGCTGTCTATTTGAAGTAACTGCGAGTTAAAGTCTGAAAAGTTAACATGTAAAGGTTTTAATAATTACTATTCTGTATGTTAAACATTTTTCCAGAAACAAAAGAAGACCCCACAGAACTTCCAATTGCACCTAATCCACCCAGTGCAACTGTGCTTGCAGATGTCGTCAGTGTGCAGCAGGGAACATTTCTGTGGACTGTTCCATGTTTACCAGAACTGTCCATTGAGTGGCGAGCGGCAAAACTNGCAACTGTGCTTGCAGATGTCGTCAGTGTGCAGCAGGGAACATTTCTGTGGACTGTTCCATGTTTACCAGAACTGTCCATTGAGTGGCGAGCGGCAAAACTAAGTTTAAATGGACTTGTACACAAGGCACTCTTCAGGGCATCAGGGCAAAGACTTCTCCAGTTAAAAACACCTGTTAGGTTGACCTTGTTTTCATCATGCTCTTGAAATTGAGCATGAAAAATACTTAGTGATTTGGGAATGGGACGATGTGGCAGCATCAAATAATGAAACTGACAAGAGGCCAGGAACATATGTAGAAAGTTCATCCCCAGAGGATGACTTTTTAAATACACACATTTCAGGAGACAGTGAAGATGATGAGGCAGACTCAGACTCCACAGTTCTACACCCCTCCCATTTAAGGTTATGGGGGTTGCGTGCGAGTTAGAGAAACAACAACACCTGGAGGCAGCTTTCAATAAGACAAAAAAAAAAATAATGAGAACTTTGTTATACGAGCAAAGATCTAACCTGAACCAGACAATATGTTTGATGTGAAGGTAATAAGTGTTTTAATAGACTATGGATTTGGTTTTAAACATGTTGGCTACATTGCCCAAGAACTGACTAAATTTGTTCATGCCATTCTCCAACAAGGAAGGCTACAGCATGCTGCTGTCTATGATATTAAATTTAGAGCAGCATGGGCCAAAACAGGATACTTTATGTCTTTACAACTTACATCTAAAGGGGAATGGCCATCCCAAGTGTTAAGAGCCAGTGCAAGAGTTCAATAGTCTCCAAGTTATTCTTCTAATTTAATAACACTTTCAAGTATCAGAGTCAGTGCATTTCTGCATTCCGCACAAATGAGCGGGAGTTCATCAAGTAAAACAAATTAGTTATCACATATGAGTTATTATAGTTGTTTAAATTTAAGATATATTTTATTCGTATAAAAATGTCTTAAATGGTATCAATAAAATGTTTCATAATATGTACGGTCCATTGTAGTTTTGACTTCGATCTGAAATAAATATATCTAGTTCCTCAGTAATGTAAAAAATGTAAGAAACTATGAAAAATTACTCTCATGAAAAATCACTGTCATTGGCTGTACAATATTATACATGATGGTTCAGACCAAAGAAAAACATAAATTGAACATTACAAGATCCTTGGTGGCAGTGTCCCACTGACTGCATGAAATGTATCTCTAACAGTTAATGAGCCACGTTGTGGCAAAAAGCTCTATTTGGCACAAAAACTCCCGGATCAGCTCTGCGGGAGATTATGACCCTATCTAAACGTTCAATTCCAGCTGGGGAAGGATCATTAAATGATGGCAGTGCCTTTAAATGAAAGCGTTCATTAACCCCAGTCCAATAGTAGAAGGGAAGGTCAGGGTCAATCCTCTTGCTAAACTCATTCATGATCTTTGGGAACTGCTCCTTGAAGGTCTTGTGGTCAAATATCGGTCCAAGAAGCTCGTGAAACAGGGAAATAATGCTCTCCACATAATCTGTTGTGCTGGCACGGGGGTTTTCTGGGGGCAGACCTCTTGCTTCACCTTCAACTC